TAATCATTTTTAGAGAAGAGTATTCTGTGTGTGTGTGTGTGTGTGTGTGTGTGTGTGTGTGTGTGTGTGGTCTTGTTCATTCTAGTTCTCACAGCTGGCTAAACATGTAAAACTTGATCATAGTTCCCATGTACAATAAATTCTATATATAATGTAATTCTATGCATAAAGCAGTTCTACTGTATGTTAAATAGAAATAGAGGACAGGAAGGCAGCCTACTGGGCCATCATATCCAGTCTCCAGCATTCACAGGCAACCATTAACCAAAGAAATCCCCAAAGGTTACAGTACTTTCCTGCTGTTTTCTACATGTTCTCTATATTCTTCCCTTTAATGATAATTGTAGGAAGAGGAGTCTCCATCCCATGCAGACTTGTGTTCTATCTAGGACAGTTTAATTCAGACTTGATCATTCTGCATGCCGAGTGCCTCATTAAAGTGCTCAGTGACTTCAGCACCTTACAGGATTATGCCATAATCTTCCTCTGCCACTGCTTTTTGCAAATCTTAAATCAATAAAATATATGCAACAGGGATGTTGTCAGTAAAGCACTTTTTGAGACACTCAGCTCAATAGGAGCCTGGTCCAAAGTCTGTAAAAAGTCAACCCTTAGGCTAAGTACAGACTGTGAAAAACCTTGAATTGATTAAATCTTTGCAGGTTAGTCTAAACTGCATAGATTGAATTGATAAGCAAGTGAACAGGCATTCACTTTTGATTCTAGAAATGCAGTCATATGTCTGCAGTGGCCTAGGTCAGAAGACTGCAGTCTATCTGCAGCGGACAGCTTGAGTCAAGACTAGCCCACTCACCCTGCAAAACAGAGTTTGCAGGGAAGGTGCAAAGCATCCTGGGATGCTGGGGGACAGTGAGTTAATTTGAATCTAGAGGGAATCTGGGACAGAAATTCAACTTACTGAAGGATGGTTTCAAAGAGTATGGAGCTAGATTGTTCTCAGTGGTGGCAGATGGTGAGACAAGGAGGAACAGTCTCAAGTTGCAGCAAGGGAAGTTTAGGTTACATATTAGGAAAAAACTTTCTCACTAGGAGGGTAGTAAAACTCTGGAACAAGTTAGCCAAAGAGGTTGTGAAATCTTCATCCTTGGTGCTTTTTAAGACCCAGGTATACAAAGCCCTGGCTAGGATGATCTAGTTGAGGTTGGTTCTGCTTTGAGCAGGCGGTTGGACTAGATGACCTTCTGAGGTCCCTTCCAACCCTAATTTTATATGATTCTATGATTCTCTCTGATTCAGTAAACTGATTTAACCTAAATTAGTTATATCTGATGCTACATCCCTCCAGGTTTATCTTAAACCAGTTTCAGTCATTTAAAAAGTGATTTATGTGCAGTGAATTTCTGTTGTGTTACAGATTTGAACCAGTTTCTGATCACTTATACCAGTTTATGTGTAATTTCTGTCCCCAGCATGCATCAAACCCTCACTGACCTCACCTGGAATTGAACAGCAAACCAGCAAAGTCCATAAAGCATTGTTGTTCCTCTGAAGCATCTAGTCACTTGGCTGTGTCCTGAGAGGTTAATATTGGATGCAGAAACCAAATGCGATACCTTTTGTTGCTCAGCCTCATATGAGCTTCATGCATGATATATTCCATATGTTAGTAATTTTTACTGTTGTGTTTAACTAACCTAGGAGTCTAAATTCATAAATAGCCTTTGCCCTTTTTGTGTAGCATGCAGTAACTTTTCAAGCTTTGTCTTCTCTCCCAGTGATGGGATTTATCTTTCTGGGGTCCCATGCAATGATTCAGTTTAAGGTCCCTCTCTGATCCTGGACAACTATACCAAAACATAATCAGAATGTGGGGGGGGGGGGGGGCCTCTGGTAATTGCTTGGTTTGTACTTACCTAATGCTGCCCTTACACTTTCCTCAACAGGATGGTCTGAGCTGACCTCAGAATCTCAAGTCCTCTGTATTGTTCTGACAAAATAAATCATTTAATGTCATCACCCATCCTAGAAAGGACAGAAGGTGGGCTCTCAGTGAAAGAAAATGGTTTCTTTGCAATGCTAACTGATAAACAAATCTAAGGGGAGCTGAATTCTTAATCTTAAAGGAATGAGGTGATTCCCTAAAGGGCACTAAGAATTGGACACACAAACTTATCAGGGTATCACTAGCAAAAGAAGCAGGATACAGGAAGTATGTACATGTGAGAGCTACAAAACTCCTGTGTGCTGCAGCAGCTTCTTTCATGGTTTCTTCCACCCAACTTCATGGACAGTTTTTGGGGAATTAACCTTTTGAGTAGATAATTCCCTTTTGGAGTTGCTCATACAACTTTTTCTCTTTCCATCCACCTTTCTGTGCATAGGGAAAGTGTGTACTACAGCTGAGCCATGTAGCACACTTGATGATTTAAATTGACTTCCTGGTGTTGTGCCCAAAATGCATTAAATACGTTGTTTGAATGAATAAAGGCACAGTGTTTGGCTAAGTCCCATTATATTCCCTGTGTTGCTAATAATGCCTTAAATTTTAAAATCATTATAATAGTTGTGGCATTTGTTTCCCCCCCCCTTCTCTCCCCTCCCCCCCTCTTCATTCATCATGGACTATAAAGATAAAATAACTAGTCTTATTGTAACAGTGTCCCCGTTAGGAACCCTGTTACTTTGGGAAAATTCCTGACAGCTGGGGAAGGACTCCCCACCCCTGCTCGGGCAGCCAATAGGACACAGTCTCTAAGAATAAAAGAAAGGGGAAGTCCTAATGGAAATGCCTTCAGGCACCACGGAGAGGAGAGGAGCTGCTTGAGTCTCCTTAGAGAGAGGATCCAGTGGAGGGATCTGAGACATGAATCAAGCATAGAGACTGAGGGACCATGGAGTTCAGGGCCGGCAAACCCCCTCTCACTACTTACCACGAGCCTACAGGAGCTGTGGTGAGCCTGAGAAAAGCCAAGCCTCCATGCTGGGATGAACCATGGTTGTGTGCTAGGACACAGCTGGGTAGCGCTAAAGTAAAAAGGGGTCGCAAGATGAGACCCCAGAAGAGACGCTGTCCACCACTCCAGAGCTTGAGGGGAGAGGGGAGCCGGGTCCAAGTTTCGCGACTCCAACAACGGGAAGATTCCCTGAGTCGTGCTGGCACAGAGCACGGAAAGAGATACTGGCTGGGGCCCGCAACAAGTCCTGGCTGGCCCCCGAAAAAAGCCAATGAGTTAATTGGCAGCGGGAAGACAAGACACGGGCAAAGAAAGACCCCTTTGATCTTTTTTCTTTCCCTTATTATTTTGCGTGGACAGTGACTGGGACAGCAGGGGGTCACCGGGAGTGACCCGTACAGAGAAAGGCAGATGGGAACACCCTCCATAAGGGCAGCTGGCGTAGAGCAGAAGCCACCAGATGTGCTGATTACGGGCACAGCCATTAGCCTGTGAAACATGGGCCGGCACTCACCTTGGAGATTTCACCACCAGGGATCCTCTTTTGAGCCCAGAGGTGATCCCAGAGACAGCTCGGACAAGCTGTTGCCTCCCATCTGGTCCTCTATAAAAGAAGAGAAGAATATATAAAATACTTAAAATTATGTAGCGGGTTGGGAATCATTTGGCGGGTATCAATTAACAACTCAACAATCTCTTTCCTCCCCTCATAAGATGCAAGTCGTGGCAGACGAGAACCAAAGGAGGGAGCTGTTTTTAAAAATCAAATTAAAATTCTCCAACCAAAATCATTAAAAATCTCCTACATTTGAAGGAACCAAATTCTTGATCTCCAGTTAATTCTGATTAATTTTAAACGTGTGGGCATTATAATAACAGCCTGAGTTGCAGACATCTTCACAAATAAGTTTTTTATTATTTACAGGCACATAGCATTCAGTAAGTCTCCATTAGTTATAACTTGTAAGAGTGGAAACAGAAGTGTTTATAAGTATGAACCTCTGTTTTGGGCACTTTATTGGAAATCAGGGGTTCCATCCTCAGTGCTGGGAGATTTGAATGAAGATATTTTTATTTTCATGTTCAGTGAGCTGTTTAAGCTGATAAAAGAATCTGAAAGAAGAGAATGCATTGTTGTATTGGGGGAGAGTTGAAATAGCATATTTTGCAATATGTGGTATGCTTTGTTGCTTTTGCCTGGAACATTGGTCAATATTTTTCCTGGGACATTGTGGATTGATTCCTTAACCATGTCATTTGGGGTTCTGTTAAATCAGTTTTATACTACAACAGTTTCTTCCTTGGAGTTTCCCTGGCATAAAACAGACTGCAGAGCTGATTCCTAACATTCCCTGGGTCATAATATGACCCCATGCAATTAGTGGGTTGAAACTGCTATAATGAAATGTTAGAAAAATTAACATAATGATTTTTTTTTACATAATGAGGGTACATGGGTGTACACAGGAGGGCCTCTGGCTTAGAAATGAACTTCAAACACTTGCTCAGTAGGCCTGTGGTTGATGGTACGTCATGGAAATCACACAACCTCTTTAGGGGCAAGTTGGTAGCTTCATTACTTCTAGAGTAGTGTTCATTTGCCCAGGCCATGAACTGTCTCCATTGCAGACTGCTCAGAATGACATTCGCTTGCTTGCAAATGAGGCCTTAAAAGAGTCACCACTAGATGAGAGACTGAATTAAGAATACGTGAAGAAGAAAATACAAGAACAAAATCTTTTTTTAATTATAGTGAAATATGGCCTGTTCTTTTCCAAGTCCAGTCTTAGGAGAGAGAAGATGTTTTAGGACAAAGGATTTGAGTTGCTGACTTGAGTAAACTCAATACTCCATGGATGAAGTCATGCATAATTAATTACTCTTTGTTCGCGTTCCTTCTGAGGTAATGACTCCTAGCATTCACGCTTATGGTAATTGATGTTTTCTGAGAGCGAGAGCTCTAGGACAGCCAATTAAGGAAGAGGTGGTAGCTGTGCAGTGCAGCACAGTGCTGTAACATCTGTGTATTACTGTCATGTGAGTTGTAACTGTTCCATCATATTTTTTTGCTTTCCTCCTTTCTAGTGCCTAAAACAGTATATGGAGCTGGCAATTCGAGAAGGCTGTGGGTCTCCTATCACTTGTCCAGACATGGTTTGCTTGAATCATGGGACCCTACAAGAAGCAGAGGTATCACTACTTGCCCTCTCTCCTCTTTGATTTTCACCTTCTTTCTTCATTTACACAGTAAATATGATAATATACTGTTTCCTCCCCTCTAGTTACCTTCCTACTCTCTGCCACAGCATGGACCATAGCCAGCATGGGGTATGGTTACTAATGCTGCATATGGCTCTGGCAAAGACTGCAGACACAGTAGGGTCTGCCTGGCTTCCCCCTGCCCTACCCCGCTTCTTGCTGCTCAAGCAGGAAATCCCCACCCCTCCCTCCCTCCCATCTCCCATAGCAGGGACCCCACGGACCCTAGTCATGTGCTATGTTAGCTAATGCCGAGAGGTGTCTGTGCTTGTGTCTCTCTCCAATTTCACTGGGACAGGCAGGCAGAACAGTTAATCAACAGGTAGCTGGTAAGCTGTTTAAAAAGTTTGAATTAATGGTTGAGAGGCCATTGTTTTGCTGGCTGCTCAGAATGGCATTCCCTCACAAGGGAAGGGAGGGCTGCTATAGCACCCCCCCCCCCCCCCCCTTTTATCTCCCCGCCCACCGGGGTGGTGCCTTAGCCTGAGCTACTGCAGGCATGTGCCTGAATTTCCTCAGCCCAGAGAGAATGTCTGTCCAGTTTTAAACCAGTTCAGCCTAGCCAGGTTAGACTAACCTGCAAAGACTGAATCAATTTAGGTTCAGGCTTTTTGAATGTCTGTCCCTAGCCCCATTGCTTTAAGTGGGGCTAGGATTTCACCCTGTGTGTTTGTAGTAATCCATAACACGAAAAATAAGGAACTCTTTCTTTGTGTAGACTGTAATGGAAAGCTGGGTGGGAACTAGACTCCAGAGTTGAGAAGAGTGATGAGATGGGATACCTGGGAAGCTCAGGGTATGCTGATATCAATGCTGCAGCACTGCTCTCAGGCATACCCTACCCACCCACTGCCACTTTGCTTCTTTACACACACCAAACTCAGAAGGCTGAAGCTGTTCAGAATGGCTTTGCACTTCTGGCTTTGGTGCATGTAGAACAGGATCAAGTGGTGGGAAGTGCTTGCTTGAGACCAGAGCTCCTGAGATTGCTGCTGAAGCAGTATAGATGGACCCTCAAAAGGTAAGTGCAGTAGAGGTATGGGTGTTTACATATATTGTATGTGATTATTTTTGTGTGTATGCATGTGCACACACAATAACGGAAATATGTGCACAACAGCATGCATACATTTCTAATATTTAATATAAAGAAATGGAGGGAGTATCCATTTCCGAACCATTCTATCTGAACCATACTTTCTGTGTGAAAAGATCAGAAATGGCCCCCTAATAATGCCTTTAACTCAGACAGTTTTTCTGGCTGATCTACTGATGGTGTAACAAGCCTACTTCCAATCCATAGTGTGGAGGATGCATGGGTATTTTGGTTAGAGTGCTATTCTCTGCTTTGAAGGGGCTGTAGAAAACAAGAGTGTGCTTACATATACAGGGGAACATTCAGGCCCCTGCTATTCTGCCACACAGAAGGAAAGCAAGAATAGCTTCAAATTTTCACTGCTTTTTGGATACAGCTGGGATACTAGTGAACTTTCTCTGGTACTGGGGTGTAGACAACAAGCCATACATTGAAAAGAAAGTTTTCTTTGTAGTTGTATACAAACACTTAACAAATGTTAGATTTATTTTTTTACTCTGTTAAGCTATGTTTGTGAAGCTTCAGAAATTCTGAAGACTTATTTCCCATTAGCTAATCATGAGGACACTCCAGGGCACGTATTAATGGGCCATTAACTAATTCCATGGGTACATTGTAGAGTAGAGTTAAAGGCTGAATGACTAAACAAACCTAAAAGTGCATTAATGGCCCATGAATGAATGCTCTGAAACTCTATCTTGGCATCGCTACTGTAATATAAGTACATTGCTTTTTTTTAATCAAGTTTTAGATTATGAAAAATCATCCATAACTGAAGTACGTAATAAAGCCACTTTTTTCATTTCTTTTTTCCTTAACACTTTCAAAATCATGTCAGATAGGTCTGGGGTTAAACTAGTGTTTACACTAGAGGCTAAGTAATTTTTCTAATTGTGTTACCTAATACAATTAATCCCCTTCCCCTACCTTTTATCCTAGTTTAGTAAAGGTAGTGGGGTGAATTTGGGGCCTAACCCAAAGCCACCAGAAGTCAATGAGAGTCTTAGGAATCTTTCTGTTTACCTCCAAGAAACTTTGGATCAAATCCTGTGAGCTCATGAACATGAGGGACTAATAAAATGGGTATAGGGTAAATTGCTTTTATGAAAATGTTCCCACATCCCTCTACTAAGGTACTAATATGCTTGGTATACAACATTTCTATTATTCTACTCTATGGCTGATTTTGTTTTCACTGTAGTTAGGATATCTGTTTTGTAATTTTGCTAAAATCCTCAAAGATATACATTTCATTTTTAGGGATATTTATACCATTAATCTTTATTCACTGTTCTCTGAGGCATATGCCCCCCTGAGATTTTTGCTGCTTTCTCTTGTAGAAAAAGAGAAAACACACACACACACACACACACACACACACACACTGTGTTAAGGAACAAAGGAAAAAGAACATGTCTCTTTAAAATACAACTAAACATTTCTGCTGAGTATGAGTACAGTGCTTTTTTTGTTTGTTTGTTTGTTTTTTGTTTTTGTTCCTAACTTGAGGAAGATATTGGAAACTAGATTCTAGATATTGGAAACTAGATGTGCAGTAAAACTAAGCTCTTTGGGAAAATAGGCTGAGATAAAGAGGGATTTCCCTTCAGAAAGCAGATTGGCAGTCAGGATTTACTAGTGATGTCCCGCTTTCCTATCTATCCACAAACTTATCTCTTATTTTGTCTTGGGCACTGCATCCACTATTCCTGCAAATCTGGGAATTAACTGTATATTTCTGAATATTAATTGGTTTCCAAAGGCTCAGTGTCACTGTGTGATTATATGCTGCCCAAATTCACTATTGTTTTCAGGTTTTTCCATCATGTAGATGGCCTTAGTTTAACTGAAATGGAATGGGAAGCATAAAGCTTTTAGAAATAATAGGATATACCATTTTGAGGATGGTTCATAGATATTGAGATGAGTTTCAGAGAAATCTTTTTTTACTAGATATTTAATGCTTTAGAAAGTTTTATTCTATACTTGGGAAGATTATGCTACTGGCAGACCTTTTGAATACAAATGTGGTGGAGCACCTTTGGGGTGCTCACCATGTGGCAGGTGCTGCAGTAGGCTGGTGCAGAACCCAGCAGGGAAGGCAGCCAGGTGAAGCCTCCCAGATCTCATTCTAAGTGGGGAAGTGTGTGGCGGCGCACCTTGGGGGTGCTTGCCACTTTAGGGCTCTCACAGGCTCTGAGAGGAGCCTGCTTAGAGGAGCAGCAGGGGAAACCATTCCCCATGTACCCTTTTAAAGGGGGAAGGTGTGTGCCAGGGCACTGTTGGTGCCTTCCACTTTAAGACTGGGGGCCAAGCAGCCAGCAGGTGTTTAATTGCGGCGGCCATTTTAGAGCTCTGGCCGCCCATATAAATAGGGCAGTTCACTGCTGGCAGCCCAGGCAGCAACATCGCCTGGCTGTGAGGCTCCATAACAACCTGGAGGTAAGGGCAGGAGCTGCAGGGGATGGTCAGGAGGCTCCTGGTCCTGGGCATGACCTAAAACTGCACCTCGCCAGGAGTGGGTGGCCTGGTGGGGCTCTCAGTGATGCAGGAGCCCCAGAAAATGCCAGATCAGTGATCACCCCAGTGAAAGGTGGGTGGGGCACCTTAACCCTAGCCCTCACCTTTGGGTGGTTTTAGGTAATACCGGAGGTAGTTGGGGGCCAGGCACAGCTGAGGCCACCTGCACCCTGTGGGGTGCGAGACCCCAAGAGACTCTGAGGAGGGAGAGTAGGGCCAGGCATGGCAACGGCCATCTGAGCCCACTGGGGAGCGAAGCCCATGGCCCCAAGTGAGGGGGCAGTGTGGAGCCTCAGGTGAAGGGGCAGTGTGGAGCCCCAAGTGAAGGGGGCAGAGATGAGCAGCCCTGAGTGGAGGGGGCAGTGTGGAGCCCCAACTGAAGGGGGTGGAGATGGGGAGCCCCAGTGAAGAGGGAAAAGAACCAGAGAGCGTTGAGGTCCCAGGGGGGGGGTGTGTGTGTGTGTGTGTATATATGGTGTTGTCCCGGTAGGGGCCCAACTATGCTTAGACCTAGTCGGGTAATTGGCTGGCCACTACCCCAGTCAGGGTCGCGGGAGAGGCCCAAAAGATGGTACGTCTGCCACCCAAGGCGTGGCAGGAGAGTCAGGCAAGGGGCATGCCCAAAGGCAAGTGGGGCAACTAGTAATGTTTCTTTGGAAGAGTTAAGGTGCAGACAGAAAATACATTTGTCGCATTATCAACCCCTTGAAAGTGCTCTACAGCCATGCATAAATAGAAGAGTACAGCTGCTGAGCACTCCAGTTCTGTGCCAGATGCACAGCACCTTCATTAACTTCTGTTTGTTCCAGTGGCTGGGCTGAAGCAACCCAACCCCTTTGCTGGTGCTGTCTCAGAATAGGAAGGAGAGAAGGCAGGGGAGGGAGGTCTGTTCTAGGGTTTATCAAACTGTACTGGAGGAGGGGGTGGGTGGATTAGAGCCCCACCCCTCAAGATGAGGGGCTCCAATTCACCCAGTGCCTCACGTCTGTCTGCACCTTTTCTGTTCTCTTTGGCATTACTCTAGCACTGTGGTAATGGTGGTTTTGTTGTTTCTTTCAAAGCAGCATTCACTTGACTATCAGTAACCAGTTTTTACCATGGTATTGTCATTTGTTTTTAACAAGTGCATAAACATTTAAAATTTTTAAAATTTAAATTTGTTCCAAGATATCTCTGCCCTAAGTCAGAGCTGTAGAGAAACTGAAATTTTTGTCTGGAAAATTTCAAGACTTCAAAACATGCTTGTGTTTTGACTTGGATCAAAATTTAAAAATGAAATTCTCTGAAAAAATCAATTAAAATATTTTATGTTGAT